AGCACAATAAACACTGATATGTATTGTCAAATGTTACATATGTGTATAAGGGAAAATACATATATGAAGAATATCTGTCTAGTGAACATGTATATATACTTAAACTAAAGAAGGCATATACAGAGCTGTCCAATGATACGACTTCTGCTCCTGTCTCATTTTTTATTTATGTGTTTAGTGTTTCCTCAGCTGTGTAACCGCTCCTCCAGATTGCCTCTAAATTACACATTGGCTTTACGACATAGTGGTAAATTAGACTTTTTTCCTATTTCCACAAGCTCAGAGGAAATGCTGATGGTGAATGTGTCTGTGTAAAGGAATGTTATTTGTGCACAAATGTCTCTCTTTCACAACAGCCCTCTAAATTATTTGGCCTTTTCTTCTTAAAATGGAAACAATGATATTTTGAAAGAACATGGTCAATGGCATAAAGACCAAGGCAATGGGCAGAGTATGAAATAGGACCATCATGTAGTGGAGATGTGCAAACATTGTTCAAATTAAAATTTTACTAAAGCTATGTTGTGCATGCTAGAACTAAACAGCCATGTATAACACATACAACCGAGTAAGTGAATCCATGTCATTAATGCCAGATCTCTAGATTAATTCTTGCTCCTGGATGTTTCTGTGGCTTCCTTTAGGCACCAACCCCACTTACCTTTATTGATTCAACACTGAACTTGAAAAGTTTTCCTGGAATAGCTTAACCTGTTAGATAGAAACATCAACCCCCCCTGTAGAGTCGCAGTGCCACATTGTTGATGTAGCCTAATTGGGTGAGCTGGCTTGTTTAAAGCTTCCCTTTGCCTTTGGGACTCAATGATGTAAAGGTGCTTTGATGTTTTTAGTTTGGTGTTTGTGTGACTTGAGTTGAATAAGGTTAGGCACTCAGCAGTGGGTTCAAAATCCACCTGGTTACTCTCTGGGGATGTGAGACCACATCTGCACCCAATCAGATGGCAGAACCCCCACTGATGTACTTCCACTGCCCTCAGGATAGAGACTCAGGGATATGGCCCCATTAAAAAGTGTTTTTCCATGCTTTATATACCTTTAATCTGTGTCCAATGTTGGAACCTTCTTGTTGTTGTATTTATGAGACCACTCTTGCCTCATAAAGGTTGTGGTGTCCACTTCCAAAATACCCTGCTAAATTTATGCTAAAAGTCAGAAGATTTATGGTTGAACCTTTGCCCTTGCCTGATCCGAGACTGTATGGAGTTTATAGTGACTTAAGCAGGAGCAATGCTCTTTGACAGGATCCCATTGCAGAACCAACTGATACCTGCAGATTATTATTTTTCCTTTAAGGCAAAATACTATCTCCTGGTAGGCTAATATTGAAAGGACAAAAATCATTCTGAGTATTTTCCTGAAGAGCGATTATCTGAGAAACCTGGAACCGCCAACACAACTTGACAGATCTGACATGGCAATGAAGTGCAAAGATGAATCTGTCTAACTTGTGACTTGAAGGTGGATGTGTGGATTCTAAAATGCCAATGTGAAATTCCAGCATCACTACAGGTACTGAGAGAGACGCCGACTTACTCTATAAGTAGGCGTGTGCTTAATAGATGGCCCAACTTAATACTTTGGAAAGACTTTCCAGACTATATATTTGGATTGCTGGAAAAAATGGAGCAGCTATCCACTACATTCTGCTCAGACTCTAAGCTAACTGAGAAGTCGAAAACTCCTGTTTATAAGCCACCAACACTCAACTCTGCACTAAGATCTCAGTTTCCATATTCAGACTGCTAGCAATCTAGTTTACAATATCTTTTATGAGGTTATTTTCTTAAATTGCCTCGCAGATATGACTGTGTTAAGATAAGATTTCCAAATATTTCCTTGAAAGTTCTTTGGCTTTGTGCAGTGAGGAATACTTGGGAAGAATTCCTAATGTTTACATTTGTTCAGTCGTCTCACAACTCCATGAGCTAGCAAGCTATACCTTATTAGGTCAAACACTTTGATAACCGCTTGGCAGCTGAATCCAGACTGGAAAAAGGGTAAGCTATTGTGAAAACTCTAGAGCAAGGGTGTCCAAACTTTTTTTCTTGCGGGCCAAAATTGTCGTGTTAGAATCTCTCGCGGCCACAGGTTTTTTTTTTTTTTTTTTAAATATACTTGAAAAAATAGTAAGACTTTGTAGATCAGAATCTAAAGAAACCCTTTAATAAAAGGAAATCAAATATTTAGATTTCTTCGTCCTACTTTATTTTGTTTTTTTTCTCAGAGCCTGTAACGTGGTTCATTCAGCTCAGGTCATTAAATGGTTAAACAACAGTCCGCTTGTTTGCAAAAACTTTGCATACGTTTTTTTTCATAGTTTACAAAAAAAATGTGGAAAATAGTAAAAGCTGTAGATTTAAAAAAAACCAACAACAACATACATGTTACGAACATTTTGTTTTAGGAATATTGTTCAGCCCTTGTTAACATGAAAAATAAAAATAAGATAACGTGCCAATCTTAATCAATAAAATCTTCTGATTCTTCATATGAAGTCACGGGCCGCCAAAAATCCCCTCAAGGGCCGCAAATGGCCCTCGGGCCGCACTTTGGACACCCCTGCTCTAGAGGCTATAGTCTGCTTTCAGAAAATATTGCTTGTGTACTCTTGTCCCTTGAATAATCTGAACTGTAGGGTAAAGAGGACTACACTAACAGCAAGAAGGCATGTGATTCTGTCTAGATTTGGTCTGTTTTTCCAAAATCTTGGAGGCGGAGAATGAATGGTTAAACTTACCAACCTCATTTTTTTGTAAAAACAGATTTTGTTTGTTCATCTTGTTAAATGGTGGTGGTAGTGTAACTCTTCATGTTAACATGTCTCACTTCACCAGCTGTGAACAGAAATTGGGTTGAGAGGAACAGTATATTTGACCTATAGTGAAGTTTAAATGCACACAGACACAAAGAAACACACACTGCTCCTTTCAGAAGCTCCTCATAAAACCATATTTCTTAAATGGTACATGTCAGACTTCAACTGTTTTCATTTAAACACCCATGAGAACAAGAGGGAATGGGAAAATTACATGTTTAAAATTGTCACAAATGTTCTTTCTCAAAATTTGAACCACAAACCACAACAGGACAAATAAACTCTTCACCATTTACAGATGGCACATAGCATAAATGGTGAACTGTCCATCACACAGATGAACTGTTCATATTTATATTTCGGTTTTAAGAACATTTTTTTTTGTTTGGAGTGTTGCCTAGCACACATATGCAAGCAGTCTCTATAATCACAGAGCCAGAGTTCCAAAGTTTATTCAAGCCAATTCCCTCTTTCCCAATATCTGCCTGGATTATATCACACTGCTGTAGACCGGCTCCTGACTTTGGAAATTTTATTTTTCTCTTAGATGTAAAAAAATATGTTTTAATACTTAACCATTTGAGGACAAACAACTGACCTAGATTTTGAAGATCTGTTACAAGCAGCTGTTTTGTACTGGGAGTCTGAGTAATTTAAGTATCACCATTCTGTCATGTTTAAAGCTGGCCTTACTATTACTGCATCATAGACTGCACTTTTCCTTTATTTCCAGCTTAGAGAAAAAAAATAGACTTAACTTCAAGTCACAGCATTACTAATGAGGACATTCCAAATTGGCACATGCCTCTTTGAAAGGCTGTACATTATAGGGAGTTCACAATTTGGGCAGTTAACTAATTGTTTCCAGATGTTGCCCTTTATTCTCAAGCTATTTATCTCAATGTATAGAGCGCCACAGCAATGAGTCCTAAAACACAGATGTCAGTTAGCATTTGAGCACCATGGGGTCTAAAAGTCAATGGGGATTTTGAATGGGTTTGTGGTTAGACGCCTGAAATAAGGTCTGTGGTTAACACAAGCTTAAGAGATGTTGGCATTTTGTTAGACCACATAAACTAGGTAATACCCACACTTGTGAATTTTGAAGTTTTAACGCGTCTTTAAAAAGGCGGTTGATAACAAGTGACTAAATGTGACTACAGTGGTTGTCAGGGACATTAAACATCATCACGCCGGACACAGAGGCCGGGAACTCTCTCACTACTCGAAGATGTCTCATGTAGGTTTAATCTTTAGGTTAAGGCAATTATTAGGTTAGTAAACAATTTATTAAGCTACGCGGATTAGTTTATCGGAGATCGTCTGAAGCATAATGCTAGTGACGTCACAATCATCCGACCGTGGTATAGTTCGCTTGTAGCATAACGTTAGCTTTTTACTTCTGTCAGCCGCATTAATGCGTCAAACATCATAAAAATGGTGTTCATCTGTGAAGATTATCCTGCTGAACAAAACGCCTACACTTCAGAAATGTGCGTTTGCCACAGAGCTTATTTTCTGCAATGATCCAAAATCCAATACAAAAATCCCATAGGCGAATTCTTGTTAGACCCCATGGCGATGCTACTTCCAGGTTGACCACAAAAATACGTCATATGGTTTGTTTTCTATAACCTTACAAATTACAATCACTGGAGGATCAGAAAAAAAAGAATATTAATGGCCAAGGACATGTAGTTTGAGAACAAACTATCAGTGTAGATGAAAATCTCACTCTTATTCACATGAATTCACATTTGACCAGTTAATTTTTTTTTATGTTACATGTAAATATTTTTAAACTATTCTGGTAATGTTTCTTCAGAAACAGGAAAATGACATCAGCTGACTTACATACAGGTTTATGTTTTAACGACAGCTTGGTCTGTAGCACTTTTCTGTCTCAAAATGCCTCATCTCTCAATTCAATTTGCAGAAAGGCAGTAAAATCAGCACAAAACCTCAAACAAAAATCTAAGGCTCCCTGTGGGCCGTGCTCATTGACGAGTTGGGTAAAGAACTATTTTTACAGCTGGAGAGTTTTGTATGTCTGAATGGTTTCTACTGAAGCTCCAGTCATAACCCCTCCTGCAGTCTGGAGTCCAACAGAGTAATCCTTATGACCTTTAACACAACAGCATTATAATAGCCGACTTGTAAAGTGTTCTCTGAACAGTAATATGCTTTATTTCAAATACATGTCTCATATGAGGTTTTTGTGTATTAAGGACAACATAGAAAAATAAAAAAAAGATTTAAACTATCTTTGCTTTTTTCATTTATTGTCCCATACTTCAATAGAGTAGATACAACAAATAGATATACAAATACTGTATTACAACAGATTGGATTAATGTATAACATTACTGTTAATTCTTGTGTACAACACAATGGACTGATAGTGCCTTATTTTGTTTTATAAATGGATAGCGGATGGAAATAAATGATTCTGCTTCACACTGTCATCAAAAGTAAAAATAATCTGATGTACTTGTGATATGAAAGGAAAGGAACTGCCAATGCAGATGTATCCAGTGTATAAGAAATATATTTTTTAAATAAACCTATTTTCTGTTATCATGAAATTTTATGAATTGCTCTCAAACATTATTACTCTAAGTTTGCATGCTTTCTTTTCTTTAGCTGTAAAAGAACAAAGCAACACATTTTGACTACAACTTCAGCCAATATGTGAAGCCATTTAAAACCCTTTTGGGAGCCTAATTTCTTTCAATCAATCTGTTGCACAGTCTTTCTCCCTGTCTCACAGTCTTTCTCTGTGAAGTTTCATTACATGTAGTAATAGTATCCCTAAATATAGCCAGCAATGTCTGGTCAGAGAAATCACCTTTTGTTTTACTCTTTGCACTGACTGTCTTGCTCCATTGAGACACAACCCACATTAGAACCACCTTTGAATTTCCAGGCCAGTGGAGCAAAGTTGAAATTATAACTTTCTGTTTTCAGGTTGGGGTTCTTCCGATTTTAAGATAAACATTTATCACATTTAGAATTTCTGTTTCATGTCTGTCCTTGTGCTGTTTATTTTTTAAATCCACAATTGTCACAAAAAAAATCCCTCCCAGTGTTCCTTGAAAATCCACATGGTTGAAAACAAGTATCTCACAAACACAAGTGACAGTTTGTTAATGTTACATGTACATTTGCTTATATCTCTGTCCTCCTTGCATATAGTCTTTTCACAGTACATGTACATATGTAACTTTGAAGTCTGTGCCCACGCTGTTCTTCGCAAGGCACTTGTATGTGCCTGAGTCTGAGGCTGTAGGTCTCTGAATGATAAGTGTGCCCTGAGGATGGAGCAGTTCACTACCCAAATGCCTGCCCTGTCCTGCTGCAGACAGAACTGAATTATCAGGGAGCTCCCAGGTGATCTCTGGCTTGGGGATCCCAATGGCAGCACAGTTAAGCTGGATAGATGTCCCAGTAACTGCCTTCACATTGGGGGGTGGAGCTGTAGAGATCCGTGGAGGGTAGGCAATGATAATAACTGGGACAGAGAGCACTGCCTCCCCAGCATCATTCTGAGCTCTACAGATGTAATTTCCTCGGTCATGGAGAGTAGTATCCTGAACAACCAAGGTACCATTCTCAAGTAACTGGTAGCGCCCAAAGACTTGGGGCCGAGTAAGAGTGTGGCCACCAGGAATTGTCCAGTAGATTCCGGGTTTAGGATTCCCATCAGATAGACAGTGAAGGAAGAGTGGTTCTCCAGACATACTGCGTATGATGCCTCGAGGCCTTGTCAAGATGTAAGGCTTCTGGCCAACATCCAAAATTATTAGTTTCTCTATGTATCCCATGAAATTCTTGGCACCACAGCGGTACTTCCCAGCATCCTCTTTGCGAGGGTTATAGATGACTAAAGTTCCATTATTGCCTAGGCGGTGTTGAGAGTCATGGTGATGTTCACTAGTAACTCGCGTGCCATTAGGGAAAGTCCATATTATCTCTGGTGTCGGTTGTCCATCAGCAGAGCAGTTCAGAACTATGGTTTTCCCAAACCGAGACACAATGCGCTCGTTGAATGGGTTTTTGAAGATCGGCCTTCGTAGCATACTAGTAACCTCCAGCTGCACCACCATTACTGCCTCTCCTCCATCATTCCTTGCCATGCAAATGAACTCTGCTGTATCAGTTGGGCGCACGTTGCGAATCTCTAAAGTCCCATTTTGGTGAACATTAATTCTACTGCCGAAGTACGGTGCTTTCAGAAAGATGTTATCTGGCATAATCCATGTGATACTAGGAGTGGGATTACCCTCAGCCTTACAGTCTATTAATTTCCTGGAGAATTTAGCTGCAACATCTTTGATCACGGTCCTATTTTGCCTGTAGCCATTAATCATTGGCGGATTCCCATCTAAATCAAGCTTGTAGACTTTTCTTTTGTCTCCAGCAAGGTTGCGAGCTATACAAACATACTCCCCAGCATCGATAAGCTTCACAGCCCTTATATCCAGAGAGCCATTGACATGCATGAGGTAGCGATCATTAGATGCTCCAATCACATCGTTGTTTGGCAGCATCCACAGGATCTTGGGTCTTGGTTCCCCAAGTGCTTCACAGTCAAAGCGGATGTTCCCTCCAGGCTTGACTCTTGCATAGGTCTGGCTGGATGGATGAATTCTGGGGGAGCAGTCATCACACTGATATGCACATGCATTTCATCCTTGCCTCCCTGGTTTTCAGCATAGCAGGTGTAGTCCCCCTCCTCTGACATACCAACCTGTTAAAGTATGACAAAATGGTGTACAGCTTTTAAAAGGTTTTATGTTACACAAAGGAAGTAGCGTGCAATTACATACCTGGTTTACGTAAAGGGTTCCATTGTCAAAAAGTGTGTAGCGGCGTGCTCGTCCCCCTCCACTGCTGGCATCAGACTGAAGAGCACTATTGACCACTGTACCATCTGGTAAACCCCAGGAAATCTCTGGCTTTGGGGCTCCTGAGGCTTTACAGTCAACCTTCAGGTCATAACCATAGGTTACCTGCTTCTTTCCATTGAGCTTAGGTTCTATCTTGGCTGGCTTCATGGTCACATGGACCATCATGAGTTGAAGGGCATCTCCCATTTTGCTTCGTGCCACACAGAGATAGTCTCCTGCATCTTTATTGCTGACAGTGTTCACAATAAGTGTACCATTATCCAGGACCTGAATTCTGTTGCCCATCCTATACAAGAAAAATATTGACAGTTAGCAAAGTAAGCACCTTTTACAAGTTTACATCAGGGATAGCTGATTTAATTAATCCATTTTTTGTTCACCCCTTTTCTTTGTAATGCTGCATGTACAGATGGTCATTTACAGATGGTCACATTTCTTAAGCTTTGCCATGAACCTCGGGCATTGTCAAGTTTCCGAATTGAGTGCTTTTTAGATATCCTTAGGCTTCAGGGCTAAGTGTATTAAAAGGCATGGGGAAAGACGGTGAAGAACTAAGTTTATTTAAACACTTGTAGATTCATCATTTGTAAATTCTGCATAACTAAAAACTGTTAAAAAAAAGTTTTCCAAGATTGTATTTTGGCCTTTACTCATAAGCTAATTGTAAATAGTACAATATTATCTTTTGTGTATTACTACGACTGATCAAGGCATTTTTACCTGTGCCACTGATCAACCACAGCTTTAGATGGCAGTCTCCACATGATCCTGGGCTTTGGATCTCCTGTAGCCGAACAGTTAAGTATCAGCTGGTCCCCAAAGAACAGCTCTGTCATGCGCTGTGATGTCTTCACTATATAAGGGGCAGACTCTTGTTTTTCAACAATCAGTGTCACTACCCTTCTCTCTGAGCCAGTTGAACTGGTAGCAATACATTCATATTTCCCATTGTCTGCTGGAGTTATGGCCTTAATTTGGAGGGTTCCATTGACATAAACATATATCCTTGGGTTTCTTGCAGGTCTGTTAGATCGTACCATTGACCCATCATTGAGGACCCAGTGCATAGTGGGATTTGGGCTTCCTTGGCCAGTACAGGGAATCCACAAGCTTTGGCTTACACTGGCTTTTAAGTGCTGACGTTTCTCCTCCTTAATGCCTGGGGGAGCTGCCACAACTTGCAGTCGGACTGTAGCAGTGTCAGCTCCGGCTGGATTGCTGGCAATGCATTTGTAATGACCTCTGTCATGAACAGATACCTGCTCAATGATCAGAGTTCCCTCAGCAGATACCGAAACCCTTTCCTTCTCTCTGATTTTACCCCTTACTTGGGTGCGGTTGGCCAGAATCCATGATATCAAGGGTGTGGGCCGACCTTCTGCTTTACATTTCATCTCCACAGTGTTCCCTGCATGAGATTTTATGTCACGCATTTTTGGCTCCAGGATGCGTGAAGGGTATGCCACAACAGAAAGGGTGACAAGAAGTCTATCTGATCCATGATCATTCTCAGCTAGACAGAGGTATTGACCACGATCCTTAACACTGGCATTCTGGATCGATAGCGTGCCATTATTCAGGACCTGAAACTTGCCCATTCTTCCTGAAATGGTAATGGTGCTTCCTGAAAAAAGAAAAAAAATGTTTCTTTCAATACACATTCAACAAAGCTCTGCCCTTTGAAATCAGAAAAAAAACATTCGTCTTATTGACACGATTCCCAGAGGCTTTGAACTGGGCATCTGAAGAATGAAACATTTCAAATGACTTTTAAAATATTTTAAGAGGGGTCGGTTATGCACACATTACAAAGATGATCAAAAATTAGCAGTAAGACAAAGACTACAAACCCACACACTCATTCAGTCGAACAAAGTTAAATTATCACAACTTTGACAATGTTGAAAAGATGATTATACAAGTTTTGTTACACTGAATTACTGTGCAGCCTTTTCTTCTTTTCCTTGCTTGATGTTGAACATCTACCTGAGCCTTTTTCCAAATAAAGGCAATTATAAAGTTGGTTAAAACTCAAAGGTAAACTCCTGCCTGCTGTCTAACTTGTAAACAAACATTTATTTTTTTGGTAATTTGCTAATTCAGAGCTGACATCATAATGATGATTGGTTGCAGGCTTACAGCCACTTCCTATTTAAGATGTCCTGCCCATTTTAACAAACTGTTTGCTCGATGACGGTCTAGAACTAGAATGTTTATTTATTTATTTATCAGTTTATTTTTCAGGGACAATAGATTGGCATTGTTACATCTAATTGAAGTGCAACCGATGCAGTGTATAACACTTCTAACCATGGCTAATTTACTTGTCCCTGGTTTGGTTTATAGAAAATAACACGCATGATAAAACAACACTGCATATCAGACATAAAAAATGACAATTGCAGCAGACGTAGCAAATAAATGTTTGTTTGCAAGTTAGACAGTGTGCAGGACTTTACCTTTACGTTTTTGATGGGCACATTGCTCTCCTAAGCACCTGTTTTATGAAATGGATGTGCATAGGCTTTTTTGCATTTTGAATTATGAAATTGGTACCTGTGCTTGAGGACAAGCGTCTCCAGGATACAGTTGGCTGAGGGTTTCCTACTGTCTCACACGGAAGGAAAGCATCAGAGTTGGATAAAACTGTGAAGCTAGCTGCATTGCCCCCGACAATCTTGGGTTTGCTTGTCAATACCTCTGTAGTTTCTTCAAAGCCAGCAATATTGGCACTTGTAACTTCAACGTCAGTGATTTGGACTTTGGCATATTCCTGCTCGGCTGTAAGGGTGGTCATTGAATCAATAGTAAGGCCTTTATCTGCACCGTCTCTGCCACTACTGCTTTGCATAGTAGGTCTTATTGTCTTCATTGGTGTTCTTCGAGTGGGGTAGCTTTTTCCACTTTGTATTGGTGGTCTGAAATTGCTTTGGAATATGGGTTGAGCTGTTGTGTAAGTTCTCTTTGTGGTAGCTGGCATGGGCGTGGTGGTGGGGTTAAATGTAGATGAGGGGATTGAGGGTTTCTTGCTTGTAGTGAAGACTGGGAAATTGCTAGACGTGTTCCAGTCTAACTCCTCATATAAGTCAATTTCCTCCTTTTGGTCAGTGGAAGCAGCTACTGGAGTTCTGTCCTCTTTCTTAGTTGGTGTGTATAGGGAATTATGGAGTGAAACTGTCCATTGTGGTAGTCTGGTTGTCTCCATTGAAGTTTCCATAATTGTAACCTCTGTAGTTAAGGCCTCAGCTGTGGTAGTAGCTTGTGATTTAGTTATTGCAGGTTTCTTGATTGGTCTCCTGCCCCTAAAGGGCCTCCTTCTTCGCCCTTGCTGCCATCTTGTCCCATTAGGCCTCTTTCTGCCCACAAACCAATTATCAGGCAGACCCCCCGAACCAGATGATATTGGTTCATCAGACTCTCCATTTAAGAGTGGCTGAATGGTTGGTGGGGAAGGTAGAGTCTGTGATTCTGGAGGTGTTTCAGCTGTGGTTGAAGATCTGTAGTAATATGATGAGCTGGTAGTACTTATGAGTTGGACGCTGGGTTCCAGTGTGGTAAACCCAAAATCTGAAGAAGACAAATCGTCATAGTCATCATCTAATGAGCCCTCTTCATTACCTGTTTGTCTGGACGGGGAAAGAGTCCCTGGTTCTACCAATGAGTTTGTGACAGTGGTGAGCAAAGCAATAGGGGTTGTGGTTACAGTTACTGTTGTAGGTTCAGCTGTAGTTGATGTTTTGATAAATGGCTTTCTTAACCGACCCAGTATCTTTTCTTTATCTTTGCCTCCAAACAGCCTGTTCCAAGGGATTCTTCCACGAATAACCTTAGAGGCAGTTGTAGTTGTAGCAGCCGTGGTGGAGATTAATGGTTCCTTATTTGTGCTCACAAATGGATCAGTTGTAATGTAAAAATCAGGGGCATCAGCAGAGGTTATGTAGCCACTCGAACCATCTAGCTTTGGGGCTTCTGAAGTAATGTAATTATATTGTGTAGACATTTCAGGTTTTGGTGTAGTGGCAGGGCTCTCCCTTATATGTAAGGATGAACTAGAATAACCTGTCGGTGTGACCACCTGCAGATGAGTCTTTGATGTATTCTTACTGTCTTCATCACAGTCACAGTCTGAGGGGAAGCAAAGAAAACAGATACACAAATTTCAGCTACAAGAGGTACAAAATGAAAAATAAAGCAATTTACAACTATAATAAGGCTTCCAGTTCTTACCTGTGGACAGTTCAATTTTATATGGCACTGTTGCATTCCCTTCCTTTTTAACTGAGGGCTGTCTGAGTTTATTGATAATGGACTGTATGTCAGTTATCCTGTTGGGTTTAATGATCCTTCTGCGCCCTTGAAAAGTCCTTCTGCGCCCCCCTGCTCTACTGTTCTTATTTGGTATGATTTGGATGTGCTGTCTAGAGATAATGGTGGATCCAGCAGGCAAGCGTGGGGATTTGATGGTTTGGGTAGTGTGGAGGGTGATCTGATCTTGTTGTCTCTCTGTGGTGGTGATGGCTGTGTATGTGGTCTGGCTTTTTGGGTCTGTGGATGTGTGAACGATGAATTCCACTGGTCCTGGGCCATCCCTCATTGGAGTGACATTAGGGTCCGTGGTAAACATGAGCGCCGCACCTGTGGATGTTTCTGGCTCTGCAGGTTGTTGTCCTGAGAACTGGAGTTGAGTTTCTTGTGATGCTTCTGTTACAGTAAGTGACAGAACTGGTTGCCTGATTAAGCTTGGCTTCGTAGTTCTTTCCGAGTTATAGAACTCAGTGTTCTCATCAACAGTAGATATGCCTTTGTTGTCTGAAAAATATGGTGTAACTGCATCGCTTTGAGTTTCAATCCTTTGTGTTGGCTTGTGTGTTAATGTAGACTTCATTGATGTAGAATCTGACTGCATATATGACTCTGTTGTTGGTGTATTTTCATTTTCTGGAACTTTAAATATTCTACCTCTTCGTGGATTATCTGTAGTCGGTGTGAGAATCCTTGACATGATGATGAGCTGATCTTCATTATTATCCTCACCAGAGCCAATTTCGTCCTCACCAGAGAGACCAGTGTTTGAATCTGCATCTTTAACTCCCTCACTCTCTGTGCCAGTCTTTATTCTTGATCCATCTTGAGCCTTTTTCATAAATTCAGCAAATTTATTTGGGTCCACTTTCCTGGAAGCTTTATCAAAGACCCTACTACTCCAGATGCGTCGGTTGCTAACAGACCCCCTTCTTCTCTGTCCCAGCCTACCTCCAGCACCTCCACCATGTGACTTAAGTCTGGGGTAAGGTCGATCTGAGGTAATGGTTCTGGATTCCTGACTAGTTCTGTCAAAAGGACTGGAAGAGGGGATCTCTTTTAGAGTGATTGTGTTTTCAGTCAAGCTAGGGTCAACATTGTCCTCTATTTCCATCCCTGATCCTCCATTGTCCAAAACTATTAGAGTACCAGGCCTTTCTTCAGTCACCGTCACCTGTGACACGAGAAGATCAACTCCCAGGTCATTAGTAACCAAGCACCTATAAAAACCCCTGTCCCTCTCTGTGAGACCCTGAATAAGCAAGGTTCCGTTGTCAAAAACTTTCTTTTTCCCTTGAGACTTTTCCAGTACTGAGTGATCAGGGAGAATCCAATGGACTGAGGCCTTTGTACTCCCTGACAAGCTACAGTCCAAAACCAGATTTTCTCCCATTGGCCTTGTGAGTTGAACACCGTTGGTCTCAGATTCTTCCACATCAGGGGAGAGAACTGTCACACGAAAGATCATGATATCTGCATCCAGGTAGTTTGTGGCAATGCACCTGTACAGGCCTGTGTCTGAAGTATCTGCTCCCCTCAGAGTTAACTTCCCTTCGGCATTGATAATGATCCTGCTGTCCTCACTGGAGTAAGGTGCTCTGACCTTACTTCCATCTGGTAAAATCCACTCCAACAAGGGCTTTGGCTCACCGCGGATCAGACAGTTCAATTGTGCCACACCACCTATGTTAAAAATAAAATAAATATCTTATTAAAGTAATTATTCCTTCCATAAATATTTAGTCTCTTGAATTCTGACAGTTTTAAAATGCTAACTGCAATCTTAACAGGAATTCTCTATAAACTTGTATGCATCACTTAAGAATTAAACTATAGGTATTAAATAATCTAATGTCATATCACCACCTAAATTCCCACCTGTAAGTACAGTGTGCTCAGTCTTGGTTTGATTATCTCGCTTTATCATGGTCCAAGAATAGCGGTCTCTCTTGGGTGATCTGTTTTCCACACGCAGGTTGACTACAGACTGGTACTTAATATGCAAAGTAGAAAAAGTGGTCATAGTGCGGTCAAGTTGGAAGCTAACCTCTCCCTGCATCAACCATGCAGGTGAGGCCTTAATCTCGGCTTCAATGCTTGTGTGAATTCCTTCTTCCGCCTCCTCTGTTTTAATCTGACTATACCTGTAAATCATTTCAGGGCTTCTTGCTAGCATTATGCCTCTTTCTAGTCTCATTGGAGAATCACTGTAGCTGGCCAGTATCTGCCACAGCGGCTGTATGTGTTCATGGTCAACGTTACACACAAAATAGGAAGTTATGCCAGTGGTAAGAACTGTGACATTGTTTCCCTCCTCCTCCTCCAAAGTTTGTGTCAGGTTCTCAAAAGCTGAGGGCCTCTGGACAGTGCAGGCAAGCGTGGCATCACTGTGAAACTGGTCTGTGAGGTTCATTTGTATGGAGCCTAATGGGGATATGAAGTCCTTTGGGGAAACTGGAGTAAAGTCCCCCTCATCCAGGCTAATGTTTTTCTGCTTTAAATGATATTGGACCCAGGGTTTGGCACATGCGAAGGCATCACTTGGGAGAAGGGATAGAGGTCTTTTTTGGTAGTGGGCAGGATTTTCACAAACAGGACACAGCTGGCCTCTTGGATATCTCCGGTCTCGCTTGCATTTCAGCACACCTGGAAACATTTAAATCAAGTTCAAGTTTAGTTGTTACTATGCTAGAAAGGTAAAACTTGTGAACCCTAAAAGATTATAATTGACACATACAGATTTAAAATTCACAAGTTGCTTTTAACATCGCCAAGTCATAATTAAAGTTGTTATTTCTATTGCTGTTTTTTTCTGTAGCCGTCACACTGAGAAAGAAAAATGATCTCTGCCCGTAATTATGTCCCTGCAACAATTGATGTTTCCCTTTCATGCTTTCCTACAGAATCCAGTTAGTCTGTAGCAGAAAAGAAAGTTTCAGTTCTGAGTAGAAAGACCTAATTAAGTACAAATGCAATTAGCAACTTTGCCAGATGTGTTGTTTTATAGCTGCAAGCAATAGTGTCTTGTCATGTGAAAGAAGGGGTTCTCTTCCCTTGTAAACATTTACAACATACAACATAACACCTCTCTAAATGCTTTCAGAGGGTATCAAAGCAAATACGTACTCCTCACCTGTGTTCTTCTGTGACCACTTTGAGAACCACTTCATACGGCAGTCACACGACCATGGGTTGCCATGGAGGAAGAGATTCTCTAACTGGCTGCAGCCTAAGAAAATATCTGCAGGGAGAGTGGTAAGGAGGTTGTCTGACAGATGGATGTTTCTTACTGAGGACACCTTGAACACCTGGCTGTGTCTCAGTGTGATGAATGTGTCTGGGTGAAGCTGCTGGAGGTGGTTACCCTCCAGTTGGACAAACTGTAGCTTGGTTAGGCCGTAGAAAGCTTCCGGGCTGATGAACTCAATGTTGTTGTGATCCAAGTGGAGTCTCAGTACACTGTCAAGGCCTTTGAATGTATCTTTGTTGATTTCCTTTACTTTGTTAAAAGACATCTTCAGGACCTGTGAAAACATATTGGAGAAGTCGCAAGTGTTTCAAAATACGTTTATCTTTGACCAAAAAAAGGCAATTTTTTACAAGAGATTCCATAAAATGTTGTCAAAACAGCAATATAACTTGTAAATCAAGTTAAGTTTGTTAAGTATTCACATAGTTTTTTGAGAGGATCACTTTTACAAGATACATGTGCAAAATAATGCAATGCACTAGAAAATCCCCATCAAGAATACATCTCTTTATGTTGGGAAGAAATTATAACAATAGCACATAGGGTGGCTGACTCCTTGTCTGACATTTTAATACTTTGATATTCTAGGACAGTGAAATTGTATTGCAATATTGCAAAAGAGGCTTTTATTGTATTATTTTTTTTACAAGAGACTGACCAACACATTAATTTACCTGTAGGGACTTAAGGTCTTGGAAGGCTCTGTCTTCAATACTGTGGATAGTGTTGCTATGCAGCATCAACAACTCCAAGTTTTCAAGTCCTGAAAGATCGTTTTCTCTCAAAACAGTGATACTGTTGTACCTAAAGCCAGAGGGAAAAGGAGACTTCAGACTGAGGCAGAGATATCAATGAAACATTCATATTGACTTCATCATGAGAACAGGCCTAATCATAAAATAACAGTTAAAACAATTATCAGGGCTTGGCTTGATAATTGAAACTCATGCCTTTAATCTTCAGAACACAACATTGAAAATGTTTTTTTAATGACTTTTAGTGGTTTGATATTCACCCAACAGTTTTCAATGAGGCGCAGAGCAACTATATTTTTATACATTATTCAAGCAATAGCACATGAGAAGGAGTGATGCCACAGCTGTTGTAATAAAATAATCACAGCAGTCTTTATATCCAGTACAACATCTCGACCTCAAGTGTGATATTTCCTTTTATACAAAAGTTATACAAGCAGAAAATAGTGGTAAAAATGACAACAGAAACTAGTTCCACAATTTAACTTAAACTAGACAGTTGCCAAGCAACCCAAACATTCAGTCTTGCTTCTCTGTTTGTGTCCATGGTTACCACAAGCAGCTATTTTGGTAGTATGGACCTTTATTTGTAGGCTACCTATGTTAAAAGACATTCCTTCCATCATGAAAAAAGTTAAATGTGAGTCTGTTATGTGATTCTGTCAGCTGTAAGTGTCAATTAAAAGTATTCAGAACTCCTGGCTAAAAAGGAGTGATACAAATTGTGAGAAGTCCCAGTGATATTGTTTTCTATCTATCACTCATGGAATGCCTCTTGTCCAATCAGATTGCTTGGTTGGAACTTACTGTTGACGATTTTATTAATTACACCTGGGCTAATCCTGCCATGACATGTTAAAATATCTGTGAAAATGTTTAATTCTGATGTAATTAGGCACAATAATTAAATACACCTGGGGGCTAGCACTAGGACAAAAGTATTAAATTGGCATATAGCCTATTTGCATTCTGAGACAACAGCAAACTCTTTCACCCAAGGTAAAGTAAGTTAAAGTAAAATGTTTGTGTGTGTTTGGATATATAATTTACTTCACATATTATCTGTTGACTAATTTTCACAAAGAATAACGTCACAAACAGTACCAACTTCAAGCTTTCTGGATATTAGCTTCAGGACAGGGCTGGACTTATAGACAGGAAGCTGACCAGCAGTGGACTTCGTCAGTTTTCAGGAGTTTAGAAGCCCAGCAGGCTTTCTTATGAGAAAAAGTAACCATAACTTTGTTAAAAAAAAAAAAACAACGTGCTTTTCATCGAAAATAAAATAATTTAATTGGTTTGCTAGCGACTCTAACGGTAAGTGAGTAAAAGTTACTGAAGGTCATTTTGAATATTAACCTACATTGATTTTGATTTTTAACCACCGTTGAAAGTGAATGTGCTGTTAGTTTATAAACTGTGCTAAAAATAATAATTTTGTAACACTGCTGTGCACAGTCTTTGACTTAATCAGTCTTATTATCTTCTACTGGAGAATGTCTGCAGCGATTTTTCTCCATAATGCTAAAAGCTGGAAAGAAAAACAAAAAAAAAACGGAGGCTCACCCGAGGTTAATTCTTTCCACAGCTGTGTGGATGTGGTCAGGTACTGTGCTCAGGTATCTGAAGGTGCAGTGCACTTCAGTAGGAACATAGCAGGCGCATGATTTGGGGCAGTCACCGCTCGCCGGCAGCAGCAGAGCAGCCAAGAACAACAAAGTCTCCATCAACCTCCTCCGCAGGTATGACGCGTTGCAGTCACACACACTCATTGTGCACGGGGATGGGGCTGCAGCTGCACAGAAAAGGGGGTGCTAGGTTTGCGTTGTAGCATTAATGAAACCCACCTGTAGAGACGGGCACAGTGGGTTGAAGCGTTACTCCAAACAGGAATAACACAGACAGATAGTAATTCATTTGAAGAAACCTATGCTCTAGGCTATATGTTTCTTTTTACCCTAAAAAGTTATAGATGATCAAAAAGTCATGAAAAGTCATAAATTCATAATGTTTTAATTATATTTTATTAAGTACCCTACTGTTTATGGGAAGTGAATTGAAGACAACTTTGTTTCCAAATGCATTAAAATGGTAATCAAGTCAAACAAAATAATACTAACAAAATATGTAATAAATACCAAACATGCATTTAATTGCAGATACAATTTTTCACAGAACCCCCATCAAAAAAAAAAAAATGTTATATATATTTTCTCTCACCGTACTTCAGCAACTTTAGACAACAGTTTTTCTTCACTTTCGGGATAAAATAATCCAGTTGAAGGAGTAAAAGGTCCCTGCGTCAGTGTCAGTAGTTCTCCAGTTTGATTCCTCTGAGTCCACTGAGTCTGACACACAGAGGGACAGGAGTCAGTGTGAGCGCCTGAAGTGGAGCACACACTTCGGTCTCCCTCCCCTGTCTCCCCCCTATGCATGTAATGTAATCCAAGAGTAACTGCACTTTGGAAGAGTCTGGGGAGTGGTCTGCTAGAAATACTTTGCATCTGACAGTCTGTTAAAGGCCATTAAAAACATACAAATGTTCAATTACAAAAAATCAGGGAAAGAGTTGCTGCCAAGACAACCACGACTTCTGTGGTTATTTTACATGTAGGTCATCAAATTGTTTTACACAGAAGCACAGCTTTGAAGGAGAACTCCCTGATTTTAGATGTTCAACAGATGTAGCTCCTTGATAATTTCAATATTCCTGCTTGTTCATGACTCTCTTAAGTAATAATAAGTTGCAGATCATGAGCATGACTACTTTTAGAGTTGGATAATAAGTACCCCAAGCCTTAGCAATCCGTCCGATCAAAGCACTATTCAGTGACAATGATCGAGGGCAAATCTGTCATAGATTAGCTCAATAAGCAGTTTACATTCTTGTTTCGCATTCAACAGGACATTTGAATGCTTTGTTTTATGCTTACAATGAAAACCACAAACCAGCCATCAATCCAGACACGTTAAGGACAGTATTATGTATGTTTTTTTTTTTTTTTTTTCTTCAAAATGTTCATTCTTTTCCCCCTGTTTTCATTAAGAACAGGATTTCTGTGCCCACAAATCAGTGTGTTTACAGGCACGGTCTTTTCTTTCACATTCTGCTGAAGTTGTACTCTTACTGAATCAGACATGTTTCAGTCTGTCCTTTTTTTTCTGACTTTGACGTCCAGCAATTTGTAGTTAGATTTTTATAATAATGTTGTGTTTCAAAGTGGAAATCTTAAACCCAACTTTAAATGTACACTTTTTAAAAGTGTCTACTAAAGGCCTGTTTTACTCTAATTGTTGTTCCAATCTATTTTCAGTAACTACACCTTAGTGTTGATTGTGTAAGACTTTTTTCCAGCATTAATATAAATTGACATGCTGTTGAAGTTTGCATGTTGAGGATGATTCATTGTTTCTTTCCCCGTCCACATAAAGTTATTCACATGTAAACAGTATTTATGAAACAGTACCCTTTAAAGTACAGCTGCTGCAAACTGTCTTTAAATCACATAATGTTTGTTTTGGCCCTTCAGATACAACATGCATGTTCCTCCTCTTTACAAAGCGGCGGGTTCACCGCAGCCAACGTCCACCCCTCAAACATCTACCAACATACACACAAACTCATGATGCACAGTAATGTGTGCATGTTCTTAAGCCACACACAGAGTCTGCTAACAACTAGAGCATAACCTTTAAGTCATATTCAAACCACAGAGGAACGTGCATGAAGTTCAGATACTTCATTTCAGATGTGTTGTCAAATGAGTCATTAGCATGGAATGAGGATCCCTTTCATCAATAACTTCAGGTCATAGGCCAGGTGGGCATTTTCAATTGCATGTGTTGTCAATGTTGTTTACTTGAACATCTGGAAAACACCAGCACATGTGGACAACAACCCTTCTCTTTCACAATGGTGACAAAATTTCCTTTCTTGCTTTGATCTGGCATGTTTCTCACCCAGAAACCAAGAAATGTAATCGTTGGCTCTTGCTGTTGCTACTTTAAATTCTAAGTTTTTTAATTGTCTCTGTGTGGGTAGGACAAACGTGTAATTGTGTCCATTTGTTACACTTGATTTACCAACAGTGACACACTCTTGAGGGCTATCAATCCTGATTACTGTCAGAGGCCTGACCAAGGCCTTTTGACACGTCAACACTTAGTAATATTCACTTTCAAATCCAACCAGGACTTAATTCAATTACGCAGGATTTCATGCCTTGTTCCAAACCTTTATCAAAATGGCATTAATCTGCTAGCTGAGCAGAAATGTTATTCAAGGAAGGCTACCATAGAGTCGTCCTCAGAACTGAAGATTTACAGTAAGGCTCTTTATAAGGGACGATCAAGTGGTTGAGGAGAGGAGATGATGCAAAGCGTATAGATTGCCACAGGTTTTGTGAGTTTTAGTGTAGGCTGGGTTGCATGTGCTTATCTTTTATCTTTGTGGCCAGAACAAAGTGATTTGTTTGTTGATCACAAAGTTGAATCTGGTTCATCCTTTTTCCTGCCAAGAAAACCGTTTCTCTTTGGCTTTCATTAACTCCAGATGATTGAGAACTACAAGGGCAGCTATATTAGTCTTCAAGCTACAATACTTGAATTTAGGATTCCTGGTGTTTTTAAAATGACTTTGATTGGCTGCATGTTGTTCGACTTAAGAACATTTCTTATGGTGTCTTTGGTGACAGTGGGATATGATAAACTCAAATTGCTCTCCTTCTTCTCTCCTGTGTGGACTAAAGGAAGTGTGGAGAAAGAGTTGGCTGTTAAAAGTCACAGCTAGCTGGTAGCCTATGAGGAATCTGTAGACACATATTGCACTGGCCTACGCCTCCTCACACTCACTGCTCGGATATGAATGGGGGCCCACATTTGTGGGAGGCCAATGACAGGAATACCATGGTTTGGAAAATATATCACCTTACATGAAACGCTCTTACAACATCCTTGACATGTTTTTCCTAGCGCATGGAACTCTAGCTTAATAATTTTGCACATTTTATGGTTTTTATGTCCTTCCATTTTATCCTTCACGTTTTGTTATTGTTTCACTCAACACATATAGGCCAAGTGTATTTGAAATTGACAGCACAAACAAATTGCTCCGTATTTCAGCCAATTAATGGAAGAAGTTGATACCAAAATTGTGGTGTAAGTCTTTGGAAAAAAATATGATGTCATTGAAGTTAATGTTTATAAACATCAGTTTGTAGGTGTCGGCAGCTGCAGTTCAAAGAGTGGTAAACAAAGAGAGGCACACTTTTTTAATAGTTTGGAAATTAAACATATGGTAAGCATGCAATTGACTTGGTATATACAGGACGTGAAGGGAGTAAGAAAAAATGAATTGCTTTTGTAAGGCCATGTTTGTTTGGCTTTGAAAAGAAGGCATTACAAAATGCAAGCAGAACATAGGGCTGTGATATCTGCATGGATAGCCAGGAGTTGTAGTCATCTTTAAAGATGCAGGAGGAATATCCAGCTGGGTCTTGATTTTTTCAACTGTTTAGTTGACTGTCCAAGGCCAGCATGGGCTTGGAGATGTCACACTTTTCAAGATGTTTGACTACACTTATTCCACATGTGCTTGTGGATGTCCATGTTTTCTAGCTATTCTGTATTAGTATGCAAGACTAGTCTGGAATGCTAGTTTCTTGTCTGTGGTTGTAGCCATGTGGTACAAATCAATAATGTGTTTTCAGACCCGTGTTGTCCAGAGGGTTGGTATTTGGTCCTAAATAGATGTAATGATTCTTAATGGCACTGAATGTGTTTATATTTGTCAAGAAATGGTCCAATGGTCTGTCCTTGTTTATAGAAGTGTAGTGTGTAGCTGTGTGGGTGGTGTGAGTTCTAGGAAAATCTAGTGTCTGAATCTATGTGACTTCACTCTGCCTCAGGTTTCATTCACTCTCAACAATACTGGTAAAGAGGAGCAAAAGGAGCCCAGTTTTCACACTTTTGATCAATGTAACATGAGTCAGCCTTTGGCTCTTTAGGGTCATGACATTGCATTGTGACTGTATCTTAAGACATGGAGGCCCAGTAGCTATACTAATACTAATACTTTTTTTTAAAATTTACAATATTTACTGAGTGTTATCGTTCTGCATTTGAAAAAAATACAAAAGTAGTTTCAAGTTTTGTATATAAATGCGTCATTGCAATAATAATTGTTCAAAAAGTAAATGATTGCTACTCATCTTGTTCTACCCCTTGTTGGCCATTGAGCTACAGAAACAGTGATCTGTTTATGGGCCAGCATCTGAAACTCCTTGATAGCTAGTCCCCCCTCCCTCCAAGAAGGAAACTGACCATATTCCCTGAGAACGTAAGCCTCTTCTCTTAGCTGGCTTCAGATGCTATGATTACAACCATGTGTGATGATTTTTGTGGATGAGGTCTTCTGATGATGTGTGAGGCGTTCTATTTAATGCCCCACTTGCTTTGTTTGACTAAGTTTCTTTCTTCTGTCACAACCAGGGTATCCTTGGTGGTTTTGCAGGAAAGTTGTCATTTGGAGATCAAATTCTTATTGACTCATTCTATAGATTGATCAAATACAGTACATAATCTGTGTTACTCCTGGATTTCTCCCCTGGTGGGGGGTTTGAAGTCGAATTGGTGTAGGGACACCCTTTTAGTATTTAACCTAGCCTCAACCTAATACAGTTTTGTTAACAGTACACTTCACTTTATTCAATGTGTGTGCTTCCACTGTCTGGCTCCGCTGCGTCTCCGTCTCAGCTCCGGCAGTCCGGAGCCT